TAATAAATGGATCCTGTTTTTTAAACTTATAGTCTGATTATTTAAGCTACGACTAAAACTGATACATCACATATATATATATGTGTTTGTGTGTATGTGTAAGGTAAAAAAATATGTAAATTGCAACTCTAAATTATAATTTAAATTGGCAATATCCCCTTGATGTTTAATTTTAATTTGGTATATCGCCTCAGCGTTCTAAAAATAGTAATCTTTTTCTGCACTGCATCATTTCGAGACTAATTCATGTCATATGATTCTTAAGTAGCACTGATAGAACTAAAATTCAGGCAGTCAATAATAATTTTACAGCAATATTAATCACCCAATCAAATGCATTGAGAACCAAAACTAACTAGAATTAAAATTTCATCTTGAACACAACGACACTTGCTTTCTACAGTTCGGCCTAGCTGGAATGCTGTCTGTTGCTCTCTTTTTACTGCAAAGCCATGAAAAATGTAAGCATTTTTAAATAGGCACAAGCAGTGGGCCAAGCTATTTGTGGCTGAAACATATTTTTAAAATAAAAATAAATATTTAATTTGGCTACGCTGCCAGTTTCCTATTCATTATTAATAGATCAACATTTGAGCATTCTACACAATCACAATTTCTGTTGATAATTTCTTCTAAGTCTTTCATTACAGAGAGCGTTTTTTTTATTACATACATATATGTATGTGTATTTATGTACGTTTCTTATTGATATATATTGTTCCATATAATCTTTCTCAATTGAATATACAATATTTCGTATGATCTATTTGAATTTCGTATAATATCTTCTGTAATGATTACAGATACAACAGTCAGCCTACCTTTTTATGTTTTATAAGTCACCGTGTAGTGTTTTTAAAGACTGAAAAAGTCTGTAAATCTGTTTCATAATGTTAACGATAGTTTTCCAAAATTACTGGAAAATGTCACTAAATTTGATTCAATAATTGCATCCTAAGTCCATCATATCTGAAAAAAGAATATTTCTGTCATATTAGGCATTTAAAAAGAATGTTGCTGTGCAAAATGAAGCCATTCATGTTATTTCTTCAGAATACATCTTCTGGTTTAGAGCAAAAGAACAAAATATACATGGTTAAAGATTCGAAATATTAAATTAATATGTTGGAGTCCGCGTTACGCAGGATCTATCATATGAATGTAAGCCGAGAATCATTGGTATGGAACAGTGCAATGTTTTGTGCAGGGCAAAAATTTCCAGGACAAGCGCATGCTAAAAGCATAGTAGGATATAACCCGTAACAAACTGACGAAATATTCCCACAACTAACCTGTCGAAAGAACTATTTCCAGGTACTTACACTGTTACCATCTAATGGTATTTTTTTAATGTCAAAAAATGAGGTGACGTAAATGATATTTAGGTTGTCGCATATGACAAAAACAAACACTCAAAACATAGTTCAAATATATTAAAAAATTAGTAAAGTCATTATAATGCTCTTAATAAACATATTAGATGTTGTTGTTACAGATTCAATGTGTAATTATGCTTTAAAACAATGTACTTTGCTTAATTTCGGAACCATAACATTAAAAAACAGCAAATATCACACAATAATATACAGAGCTCGTATATTTGTACATAATAGGCACCGAACATAAATGCCTGAATTTAAAACTTTCAAACGAGTTGCTGAAACGAAAATTTAATTAAAAGGGCTTCCACATATGACCCGGACTATTAGATTATTGGCGGCCTTGTATGTTTGCCCCGTCTCGTGTTACTTATAATGTAGTGGAAGATCGATCTTGTTAGTTAGGTGTAGCGCAGTGAGTAGAAAAAGTAAGTAGGAAATACTCCCTTTACGAGGGTTGGAACTTTAATAGTGGCAACTATTTATTTACAAGGAATACAAAAGTGATTCATGTCACCAAGTTTTACAGTCCTTCAATATAGTCACCAGCATTGTGTACAACCAGTTTCCAACAATATGGAAGTCGCAGAATACCTGTAGCAGCGCCTGTTTCGTTGATAGTTTGAATGGACCGGTCTACTGCCGCAAGAATCTCAGGAACGGTTTGGAAGCGAGTGCCACGAAGTGGTTCCTTTCTTAGGAATTAAGTCAGTCACAAAGACTTCGATCTGGGGAGTATGGTGGATGGTAAAGCACTTCCTAGCCCCATCGCTTGAACAAATCAGTCACAGCTTGCGCTGCATGCAGCCGAGCTCTGTCATGCAAAATGAGAGGAGCGTTATGCAGAAAGTTTCGCCGTTTTTTTCTCAAAGCTGGTCGGAGATTGTGCTCCAAAAATAAGCAGTAATACTGCGCAGTGACGGTCTGCTGTGGGGGAACGGTATGCGTTAGGATGACACCATCACAGCCGTACACGAGAATCACCATAACTTTCACATTGCTGGGGTTCTGACGAAATTTCGAACTTCGTGGTGACCCGTGATGACGCCATTTGTTTGATTGGCGTTTCAGTTCTGGCTGCTACGATCGGGCCCAAGTCTCATCCAGCGTAATGATACGGCGTAAAAAAGTATCTCCTTCGCGCTCATAGCGCTCCAGGTGAGTTCGGGCAGTATCGTACCGTAGCCATTTCTGCATTTCCGTCAATTGATGTGGAACCCATCGTGAAACATACTGACAACACTGACTTTAGACCGCGAGCTAATACAAGGATTCGTTCTTCGCGTCACTCCGCCGCATGCGCGTGACGTAGGCAGGACGAGTTTTTTTGCTGAGAGGTAAGGTAGGTATGTAGTTCACGTGTGGCATACGCAATATTCTTTGGTTTTGTTGCGTAGTGTTTTTTCAGCTGTGTTGCCACTATTAAAGTTACAACCCTCGTATTTAGAAATAATTATTGTTAAATTGTTAGCGAAGTGTGAAAAGAGATCTCAGGATTCTAGATTTTGTCTAGGCTTCGTAGAAGATTTAGAGAACTATGTGTGTCATAGACAGGCAAGTGGAAAGTGTTGCCATATCTTCATTATAGTCTACATTTAGCACACCCAGCTTTCAAGACTGAAACATAAACTAAGTGCGGCATCATACTGAGAAAACAGTTCCTACATTAAAAACGGTTCAAGAGTATTATATAAACCCATCTTAACAATTTTTAGAAGGGGAATGAAACAGCTTACAGAACACCGAAAAAGATGCATTGCAGCATAACAGAATTACTTAAAATCATGTCAGTCTGGGTACGTAACTCGTCCAGGTCATAGTTGAATGTCCTTGTACATTTCTGTTTGACGTGCTTGGCAAAAAATAGTAAATCTGAACTTTACAAACTGCGGTGGAATGGAAAATAAAATGAGCTTTGTTGATTAACATTGACGTAATTGAAGCTTATGACGTAGTTTGTACATCGTCAGATTAAAAAAGTTTTTTCCTACAGGAGATAATTAATAAAGTAGAATGCGATGCTTTTGCTGTTATGCAACATCTGTTAAAGTACCTGAAGCAGTTAACAAATATATCTTCTCAAGAAACAAAACAACATTTTTGTTTTCATCAGCTGCCAAAAGAGAAGTAACAGGAAGCTTGGAGCGACATCAAAGACCAGAAAGTTTTCGTAAAACTGTCTCGGATGTTCTACTGGATAACGAACAGGGCGTCTTCGGAGTTCCTGGACTGAGTCAGTCAGAAAACAAAGATATGAAGAAAACATCGTTTGCTGTGCTTAGCCTTCTTATAGCGGGGCATTTTTTCTGATACCACATATAAAGGTGTATCCAAAAGTAACCAGAGTGATAACACTGCACGCTAATGTTTCGTAAGTACGGATCGGGCCGCTAGGGGCTTGTTATCTTAAGATTTCCTTTTTCTGATTGCTAAGTGGCATCAGTCAAAGTAGAACGGCTCTGACACAATGCAGACTTAAGTGTATTCTTACGGTGTTCTGTTGCAAAACCACAAAGAAAAAGAAGTGTGCTTTAAACTTTGTTTTACGTTGAAAACTGCAAGTAAGGCCGTAATTATGCTTTATTTAGTTTTTAAAGATGATGCGTTGAGTAAACCAGTTCTTTACAAATGGTTTTTCAGATTCAGAAATGGCGAAATGTGAAATGAAGACTTGACTATCCATTGATGGGAATGCGATGGTAGAAACAAGGTTGTTAATGAAGAACATCGTTATACAACTAACCGAATTTCTGAAGAACTGCTCTACGTCTGACAGTCCTTGAAGAAGAAGAATGTAGTGCTTTGCCTCGCTTAGGCTAATTAACAAAACTTCTCCTTCAGTAAGACCTTTTTTCTACTTCCATGTGTGAAAAAAGTTCTCAAAATTAATACGGTAGGTTAAAAAAAAGAAGAAAGAAAAGAAAGACAAAATAAATTCAGCTAGGTGCCAGAAACTATGTTGTGTGCCTTGAAAAATATTCTACGCCAAGGGTTCTAGTTCTATTTCCATTCTTCCAACAACAGGCAAAATAAATGTTGGGAAAGGTGTATCGATGGTGGTAGCGAACATTTTGAATGACGAACAATTCAAACATTTTGAACATTTAAAATAATGTAAGCATAATATACTTGCCTAAAAAAATTCCAGTTGTTTAGGGGTACCCCTGGTATGTATTATCTTGTTCATAGAACTTTCGAATGTCATTATCAAGTGACAAAGTGAAAAAAGCTCTTTTCTCACTGTTCAGCCAATATGAAATCAAACGAATAATTACAGTAAAATTTCTTTCCTTCAATGATACCTCTGGATGACATTTTAAAGGAGCTAGGTCCGGATGACATTTTAAAGGAGGCAAGTTGATATGTAGTAGGAACAATTACGTGCAGATGAGTATTTGGTCTTGTTACAAATTTCAGAATTTCTTAATTTTTCCTAAAAAAATGATAACTTTTAATACGAGATTTCTCTTAGGGGGAATAAACGGATGCCTTTGACACTCTGATTTGAAATAAGGCTCTTACAACACATGCGTTATAAAAAAAAAAAAAAAAAAAAAAAAAAAAAAAAAAAAAAAAAAAAAAAAAAAAAAAAAAAAAAAAAAGACGTTCAGCCAATATGAAATCAAACGAATAATTACAGTTAAGTTTCTTTCCGTCAATGATCCATTCGGATGACATTTTAAAGGAGGTAGGTCCGGATGACATTTTAAAGGAGGCAAATTGATATGTATTAGGAACAATTACGACAGTTTTATCTTCTTGCAGCTTTAGAGGGGTAGATTGAAAAAACTTCAATCCTAAAACTTCGCAGACGCCTTAAAACAATTTTCCTGCGGCTGCCGAAACAGAAGTAACAATAAGCTTGGAGCGATATCCTAGAATGTTCGACGACAAATAATTTTCGTAAAATTGATTCGATGTTCCCCAAACAGGAGATTGTGAAAGCTTGTGTCATCTTTCTCGTCATCTCAGATTTATGGAAATGCCATACAATCATCCAGAAACCGTATGGATTACATTTGGGGAACTTGATTCTTTGCAAGACGAGATATTCGTTTTCTCTTCGTCCACTCAATGAACGAAGACATGCCTATTCCAGCCAGATGCTGTTGCTTCAGCTATGTGTTGGCAGAACCTGATCGTGGCACGACAGTTGGTAAGCCAAGCGTGCAGCTTCGTCTCTGAGAAGCAGGCAAGTTGACGGATGATATACTTGCCCAAGAGGGTCCAGTCGCTGGCTGGTGGTAGGAAGGTTTTCGACAAGCTTGGATTCTGCACATCAGAAGATCCGGCAGATTATCCAAGGTTTCCTGGATGGCTATGATTCGTTCTGTTGCAATCTGAAGGCGATCTTCTAAAGACATCTGCCGTTGACTAAGATCGCTGACGACTTCATAGATGCTGTTGGAAGTCTAAAAGAAGAAAAATGGTGCATGAGTTTAAATAAGACATGCAGTGGTCTGATGATATTTAATTTTGTTTGAACTATAGCGGGAGACTTTTATTTTATTGCAGTAACTTATACGCTGCGTACATAAAAATTTGTAGCAATCTCTTCTCTACATATAATAAAAGAAAGAGTCTGTGTGTGTGTCTTTCGTTCGCGATGCGCGTAAGCTAATAGACCCACGGCTACGAAATTTGGTACATAGGTGCATCTAGACAAGAGCCAGTGCATCATGAAGTGATGTTTTCGATATTCGAATTAGAATTTTTTTTACTTTATGTTCTGTGACAAAATCGCGTCATTTTGAGACATAATGGGCTATAGGAAAGAGAGATTTTACTCTACACACTCCGTTTTCACATCGTCAGGAAACGTAGGCACTTAGCTATTTTACGAACTTAAAATAAATTTAGTGTTTCAATAAATCGATTAAATACGAATTTATTTAACAAAGGGAGCTTAACACCTTTTCAACGGGATTTTTTCTAAAAAGATTTATATTTAAAAATGTACAGTTTATTTTTCTTTGATTTTTGGACACGTTAAACTTTCATCCTTGCGACTGCTTTTACAAAAAGAATTTTGGAAAAATGATAATATTTTGTATTTAAAAAAGATTAAATGAAGCTTCCGTGTACACTTCTCGCATCTCACATCTTTAAAAATGTGATTTTGGCAACAATTTTCCTGGCTTACTGTTGTTGATAGATTTTTGATGAAATCGCATCATTTGAATAGTTTCATTCTTTTAGAAATATGGGTTTGGCAGCAATTTTCCGTCGTATTTCTTATGTCACAGTTTTTAAGAGATTGGCATATTTCATTGTCATTTATATATATATATAACACATTTTTATTGATTTTTTTTGATAAAGTTGTTCTGTAAAGTAAAATTCTGCGCGGAATTTCATGTTTTTTGAGTTGCTTTCATGTTATTTTTTGCTTTTTTCACTGTTTGTAAGATATTGAAAAGTTTTGCATGATTTGTTTTTCTTCAACGGAAAGTTGGTTAATTTTTTTATTAGGATAATTAATATTTGTATTAAGGGATATAGCTTATTTCATTGTAATTTTTTTTCCTTGAAAATATAAGATAAAATATCATTAATTATACTTTGCTTTTCAGAATTTTTTGTTTTTTGTATTCTTTTATGTTATTTATGGCTCATTTCACTGTTTTTAGTTTTAAGTTTTGAGTGATTTTTTTTAGGAAACAAAGTTATTAACCTCCTTTATACCATTTGAGTTCTTAAGAGTTTGTAAAGGGAAGTTGGTTAATTTATTTATTAGAATAATTAATATTTGTATTAAGGGATATAGCTTATTTCATTGTAATTTTTTTCCCTTGAAAATATAAGATAAAATATCATTAATTATACTTTGCTTTTCAGAATTTTTTGTTTTTTGTATTCTTTTATGTTATTTATGGCTCATTTCACTGTTTTTAGTTTTAAGTTTTGAGTGCTTCTTTTAGTAAACAAAGTTCTTAACCTCCTTTATACCATTTGAGTTCATAAGAGTTTGTAAAGGGAAGTTGGTTAATTTATTTATTAGAATAATTAATATTTGTATTAAGGGATATTGCTTATTTCATTGTAATTTTGTTATACGTAATAATGTTTTTATGAAGTTGACCTGCAGAGTAAAATTCTACACGGTTTTTAAATGTAACGTTTGGTGTTTCCTTCAGCCATTTTTCCGATACATTTAAAAGCCAGACGAAGGCTGGCAGCGAAACTGCTAGTATGAAATTATTTATTTAGAAAGCTGTAATAAGCTACAGCAGTATATTCAAAGCATTTTAAGAACTAGGAGTAATGCTATACAAAGAATCTGGGTCTGGTAGTGATTTTGGTGCTGTTATAAAAGAATTATACAAAAAATTAATTCGATGAGTAATTATGTTATTATAAAATAATGGATATTTGCAGAAGAATTGTATTTAAAAAAGTTACATTAAATATAGCTATTTAAACAAATAATGGGAAAAAAAGCTAATGACAAGTTCTCATAAGCTGACGAGGAGTCTCATAGCTGGATATATTTTGTAGAGTCTCACCATCTTTGTCTCACCAACTGAGTGAGAAATCTCGAAAATTTAAGCGACTTCTCAATATGTCTTGGGAATTATAACAGAGACATGGAAAATGGAGTATTTATTAACTCAAATAAAATAGCAGAAGGCACAGCTTGTGCTTACTGGAATAGCTAGCAATTATGGTATAAATCAAAAGTAACCAATTCAGCTTAACCAAGTAAATTAAAAGTTAGCAAAGAAGGCTACACAGACAGAAAACGTCAAGTTGGCTGAAACCTAAATATCGGCGTGACAAACCTAATGGCTAGAACAACGCAACGTCGCAGACGAAAAGCTATCAAGAGATTCAACTAGCAACGTGGGCATCCGCAGGCGGAACACGCTCTGATTCTCTCCTCTAAAACTTTCCTTTAAATGCTATCTCTTTCTACCTCATTTGAATATGTGCGAACTAGAAATTAACATTGTAGCAGATTAGTTTAGTTTGATTTATTTGATTATAGCAAAGTATTCAAAGGCTATCTGCCTAAGGAGAGAGATGCTTTTGTGGAGAAATTTCTAAGGGAAACTGGCTCGTATGCAAGTTACGCATGGGAAAAACCACGGAAAACGCCCGTGCAGTCAACTCGTTCACCGGGATGCGAACCCCGGATCAAACTAAGTGTTCAGCGACTTGGCCAATTGTCCGCTGGTGGGTTCCGCTGGTGGCAGAAGAAATAGAAAGCGAGAAAGATAGAAAAGATAATTACATAAAATAACTGTTTTTAGAAAGAAAATCTTAGAAGGTATTTTTTGTAGTGAAAAATACTAAATTACAGCTTCTTTTTCCAAAATTTACCCTTCAAAAAAAATATAATGATCACATAATAAACTATGTTACGTGTACAACACAAACTTTGCCAAAAGGAAAATACGTTTCTTAATAATTATTCTACAAAATGTTTTCGAGTTTTACGATTAGGAAAATTACATTCTCTCGCACTACTCAAAATAATTATTATTACTATTTCTTCTTTTTCTTCAAACATTAATTCTTGACATCCTGCTAAATGAGTTTTCAACTTAAGCCACTGGTGCGGGCAAAGAGCATAATATAAGGAGTGAAATAATTAAATTTAGAAACAGTTTTCATGTTCGATATTCCTTATTTAATTTAATAAACGCATTGGATGAAAGTAGTTTACGCCTCTGTTATCTCGATAAGCTTTAAGATACAAAACATTGTTGTATATGTCTTAGTCTATATTTTTCTGATTTTACGCTATAAGTTTATCTGTCCGAGTTTTAATCACTTTATCGGATGTTTTCATAAATGTCCATAAAATATTAATTTTGAACTGATATCATTTGCAGCATCAAATCGCGTTAACTATGCCAATATTACAATATATAAGATAATTAATACACAATAACACGCCGAATAAATACTAATTCAGAAGTCAAACAACAAAAATCAGCGTAATATTTTCAAAATTTTTACAGGACTAGTTTCGATGGTTTTACCGAACCACCATCCTCAGCTGCAAAACCGCAAATGAACAAGATAGGAAATAATGATTAGATAAGATAAGAAAGCCTGACAAGAATAAGCAAGTGGCGCCATCTGTTGGTGAAACCAGAACTAAAACATAATTTCTTTAAAGGCCGAAGGCAAAGATGGATTGGAATTAGGATCGTTAACTAGAACAGAAAGATTTTTTTTGAATGTGAAATGCCTCTAGAAAATCCAGTTCTCCAATGAAAGATGTTTTTTGAATAATTTTGGCAGCAGAAAAATTGAAAGTGTGATTTTCGGACCAACAATGTTGAGCAACAGAAGACTTCTATGTTTCCTTTTTTCTAACATATGCCTCATGTTCCTTGACGCGAAATCTTAAGGCTCTCTTTGGCCATTAAGATTTCGCGTTACAATGTAAATCAAACTACACTGGCAAGGAATCCTATAAATACCCCAAGAATTTATATCCGGAATGGGGTCCTTGAGTATGGAACTTGGAATTTTATTGATGGGAGAATAAACAACCCGAAAGTTAAATTTCTGCAAATTATGTGCAACTTTATAAAATGTGTCTGCAAAATATGTGTCTTGTTCATTTGCGGTTTTGCAGCTGAGTATGGTGGTTCGGTAAAACCATCGAAACTAGTCCTGTAAAAATTTTGAAAATATCACGCTGATTTTTGTTGTTTGACTTCTGAATTAGAATACATAAGTTTTTAAATAATTTGCAAGAGAATTCTTCTGGCTGTGAGTTTTGGAGAGCATCACAAGTACTTGATTCGCTTGGCAGCCGTTAATTTTCTGCCTCTTTTTTGAGTAGATTTGTGTAAATTCTGGAATTGTATCACAGCTGTTTCGCGATTAGTTTACATTCGTCATTTATGAAATCTCTTCTTATTTTCTGTATGGCTCCTATAGGAGCAAATTTATTATCAAATTCTGCATCTGTAGTAGCCTGGCGATGTTGTAACAGAGTACAGTTTGCGATTGATAGCAGTCAGAATCTTTAACGAAATAGATTATATTAAAATACATTAAAATGTAACAATGTAAAGTTTAATATCAGGAGTCAGTTTATGTGAAACTTGATATATCAATAAAATCTGTTATAAGAAATGTTTGGGCAAGTGCATATCGATTAAAGAGCTAATTTTATAAATTATTCTCGATAAACAGGTATTTAGTGTCCACAATAAATATAGTCTTTTTCTTATTATTACTTGTCTCCGCATGTCTTTTTATTTTTTTTAATCATTAAATTAAGGGCACTAGTGTCACATATGATGTAAAAATATTTCTGCGTTTTTTCCCGTCAACTTTTTTACGAACATTCTAAAAATTAAACCTTTTAACTCAGATTTATTTGTTCAGCTTCGTCCACTTTTTTCCATAATTTTACAGTTTAAAACTGTGGAGAGTAAAATTAAGC